CATAGTCGAAAAATTCAGCCTCTAAAATTTGGAATACATATGAATTCCTTAATTCATTTTGTTAGAAGAAATGAATGTATTCATTGTATAAAATTGTTAAGTAGTTTATTTTCTACAAATAAAGCTTTTTTTATAAAAAATTTTCTTGTATTTTTTGCACTCATGTATATATAGTACGTAGGATGTTCCATTTTAATAAAAATTATGAAATATCTTGAAAATGAATTTACACAAAAGTAGTTCAGATAAGTTATATTCATTAAAAAAAAAAAATTGATTTTATATATTCCCTTTCAAACTATATCTTGCCTGAATTAAATACTTTTATATTCATTGCTTCATTTTCAACACATTTCTATTAAAATGAGACTATGTATATAATAAATATAAAAAAAGTATTCATATAAGGGAAATATCTTAAAAAAAAAATATTTTTAGAAACATTAGCCATTTTTATTAATGAGACTGATATAACACAGGCCAGAGACCTAACATAAGAGGAAGAAGAAACTCTTTTTATTAATGCTGAATATACTTATTTGTTAATAAATTGCTGAGCAATGTTTATTTTCTATAAGGCTTTTTTTTATAAAGCCACCTTATACGAATACTTTTTGCATTCTAGCACATATTCTGTATATATGTCATAATATATAATTAACGATTATTTTATAGGAGACACAATAATTGAAATAACAACATTAAGAATATTAATGTATACATTTTATAATGAACTTTAGGGTAAAAAAGGTTCGAGTCTAGTACATATATGATCGTAATTAACAAATAATTCCTATAAATACACAGTCGCAGATCTGTTTTTTTTTATCAATATATCACAAATCTCATTATCAACTTATTAAATAGTTCATATATGGTATCTATATAATTAATACGTAGGTATACATTAATTACACATATTAATTGTGATTTATATACATTTTTATGCACTAGAGCGGTGTTACGACATCGTGCATTGCGTACCTCCATGTCCATGCCCTCGCTACTTCTTCGAATTTTTCGCGATCACTCATATACATTTCGCCTAATTCTGGTTCCATACACACCTATTAATAACAGTGTCATATTAATAATAATATATCAGTATTAATTTAAATATATTATTGGTAGTCTTGATAAGTATAAATATATACGTGGGTCGTTTGATAAGTTTGATAAATTTCCATGAAATGGCGCTATAATCCATTTGATGACGCGACATCTCGAAAGATTCACTCTTCGAACCCCTTCAGACCAAATTTCAGCCAGAAAGGATGCATAGTTCACGTTTGGTAGTCATTTGAAGCGAGATTAGCGCGCAAAAAAGTGCTCTTCCATCAAGACAACGCGCCGTCCCACAAGTCGACCGTTGCAATGACAAAACTACGAATTGGGCTATGAATTGATTCCTCATCCACCCTATTCTCTGGATTTGGCCCCGTGTAACTTCTTTCTGTTCCCAAACTTAAAAACTTGACTCGGTGGGAAGAAA